AAAAGAAAGTTAGAAAATTGAAAATTAAAAAAAAGTGATCCGGTAGAGCCGGAAAAGGATGAAAAACGGCAAGAAGAAAGAAAAATACAAACAAAAGTGTAGCACTGTTATTGATATGAAAAAGATAAGATTGACAGTTTCAATAGTTTCAAAGTCATAAATTTAATTGAATTAACATTGTCGTAATGTATGATATCATTTTCATCTCTCCTTTCTTAATCTTTTATCACTAATTTTTCGATGAATAATTTGTTTACTACAAATTTTCTTTGCTTTTTTTTTTTTTTTTTTTTATCATTATCAATAATACAAATACATATACAGAAGTTATTTAATTATTTATTATTATTATTATGAATTGATCGAGTAAACATTTACACAGAGATGATAGTAATTCGCACGGCAACAGACAATTGATTGTCATACGACAATTATAATTATTGATTTAATTAAATTGATAAAATAACCTTTTCTCCTCTTATAATGATATATTAGAATGACAAAAAAAAAAAAAAAAAGACAAAAGTGGAGTAGAGTGAAAAATTAAAAGTACAATCTATGATAGCATTCAAATGAGAGCACATTTATTTGATTAAATTATTTTTTGGATTTTTCATTTTTTTTTTTTTTTTGCCACCAAATATTCCAATCATAAATTTGTTGTAAAAGGAAGAGTGTTTGAAATGATTGTATTTTTGAAGAGGAACAGAATGTTTTGAATATTTTTGACGAAAAGAATGTGACACTTTATTTGCAATAGGAAAGATATTTTTTTTTCTTTTTTTTAGCAAATGTAAACTTTTAACTTTCAAAAAGAGAGTTAAAAGTTTTTTTTCGTTGTTGAAATTTTTATTAAATTGGAATATTTTCTCATTCATTCATTAATATCATACTAATTACCTGGATATTCTCTTTTCTTTTTCGTTTTTTTTTACTTCAAAAAAATGCGATAATTTTTACCAACGTCGATTAATTATTGATTTGTACGTTTCACATGATTTAAACTTAATGACGAAGTAAAAAANAAAAAAAAAAAAAAAACAAACAAACAATTATACGAATGTTTACATTTCAGAAGCAAAATGTTAGCAACAAAATTTCTTATTTATTAATAAATTTAAATCAAAATTCTAATTAAAGAAAGAAAAAAAACAAAAAAGAAAAAATTATAAATATTATTATGTAAGGTGAAGAAAATAACAATGAATCTATCGACGACAACGATTGATGTTGGACAATATCCTGAGCAAGCTAATTTACAATCATTCATTAGCAAAGTTAAGCATGATAATTTACTTGAATTAAAATTACATGTTGGCACATCATCAACTAATGAAGCTAAAAAATAATCTGGACACTTAATGTTAGTTTTATTACAATTTTTTTCTCCCCTTCCTCTCCGCTCTCATTAATATTTTCCACTTTATAGTTTCATAATAATTTTTCTTTTGCTTTCTTTTTTTCTTCCTTTTAATTACAGCTATAAATTTTAATTCATATTTTGAATTTATTAAATATTGTGAAAATTTTATATATTTATAGATACCTAAAGAATCATCACTTCAGTCATCAATAGATCTATTCAAATGCGTACATAATGATAATTCTGATTATTCATTTAACGATAAGACACAATCAACGATCATAAAAAGCAACAGATTGTAATGATTTCATTCTAATCTACCACTATTTCTTCTTTTTTTTTCATCCTGTAAAATATAAAAAATGCAAATTTTTATCATTAATTCTATTGATATCAAATTGATAATTTATTGTAAACTACTGATAAAATTATGAAAATGAAATTTTATTTTCATTTGTTAAGAACGCGTTCAAAATCGCTTCGATCAGCGTTACGGACATCTTCGAAATCAAATTTAGGAATGCGTAAAACGGTACATTTCGCAGATTCATTTGGTATGGATCTTGTACATCAGAATTATTATGAAGCAGATGATGTATCAATCGAGTATGTGCTAAAGGAATTTCTGATAGATGATTGTTTGATAAAAGAATTTCTAATAGATAATATTTGATAAAAAAGTTTCTGATAAATTATGTTTGATACTTTAATGTTTAATACATTTACTTTTCCAACAAATAATAATTACAATTTTCAGGTTACAAAAATTTGGTGCAACATTTTCTTCATTAACAACTAAAATTATCAAACGTCCACGAAATGTTATGCTAAGCTTAACAAAATTACAAGGAACTACTGATGCAGAAATTGTCAATTTAACACGCACTCAATTCGTTTGCTTACAGAACATTAAATTCGTCGATATGAATATTATTGGCACCATAAATGTCCTTAATATCGCATATGAAAAGCAGGTTAATTAATAAATCAGAAATGTTTAATTTTACAATTTATTAACTAGCTAATGTAGCTCTTTATTTTAAATTATTATAATAATTGATGCAATGGATTAATTAAATCCTAACAAATAAAAAAGTAAATGACAAATTGTGAAAATTTAAATGAATTATTAAAGTTCATCAATATTAAACGGATAATAAATGTTGTAACTGTTACTTTAATTATTTTAGTAAATGTTTTATTTACCCAACAAATTTTTTTGCAGTTTAAAAATGTAACACCTTTGATATAATTAAAATATGAACCAAACTCTAATCTTATAAGAATTTACACCACTTATTATCAAATAATAATAACTTAATGAGAGATTAATATGAATTAAACATTTCAAATTAATTTCAGTCATCTGTTTCGATTATTATTTAATGAAAAAATTTTGCAATATTAATACTTGTTAATGTTAATTAGGCCGATAAATGATTTTTCTCAAAAATTACTTCAATACATGAATATTATTAAACCTAATAAGACAACATATAATCATCGCATTGCACAGAATAAACTTTTAGAAAATTAAGTTTTTATTTTTATTATTATTGTTTTTTTTTTTTTTTTAAAGCAATCATCAGATTTTTTAATTACTTTATTTATGACCAAGCAGTGTTGGAATAAGATAAGCGGTATTACAAAAAGTTAGGGTAAGTTGGGAAAACAGGTTGCAAAGCTTTTATCAGTTTAAACTAATCCGATTGGAATTAGATAAATGTTTATAATAGCAATTAGCAGGAAGCTTATTTACTTAACCACATAATGTTTTCAATATTTCCATATCAAATTACACATACTGAAATGATTAGAAGAAATCTAACAAATATTTGGTTTGAAATTTAGATTTTCAACTTTTAAATTGATACTGAAGCTAAATTTTTTTAGTTTTAAAAACAACCAAAAATGCCTATTTTAATACCCTACCTCTCACTTTACATTTTTATATAAATAATAAGTTTATTTATATATTTGAATTTCACTTTTTTTTTTTCAGGTATATATCAGATATACTCTAGATAATTGGAGAACATATATTGAAACAGTAGGAAGATACAAGTGTTCAATTAGCGATGATAATGCTATAGATCAATTTACATTTATCATTTCACTTCCCATTGATTTCCCGGTATTATCAATTTTTTAAAATTTATTTCTATTAATTGTTTAATTACTTGCAATGCTTCGCTATGATTCCAATTAGATCCTAATAATACCTAGTATTAGTGGCAATTTATTTGTAACTATAAAAACAATTCGTTCTTCAATACTATCCAAGATAGTTTCTTTCTTTTTTTTTTTTTTTTTAGTTTGCAACAAATTACAATGGTAATCAAGTTTGAGATTAAAAATTAATTCCATCATTTTTGATTATGATTTCAGGTTGGTGCAATATGTGAATTCTGTATACGTTACATAGTTAATGGTACCATATATTGGGACAATTGTAAAGGAGCCAATTATGCAATTAAAGCAATGGAAAATATTCCAATCGATAAGAAATTAATTGTAAAATCATTTAAATCACCGGATAATATTGAAAATCAAAAAAACACGGAAGATTGATTATACAATGGATTCTATTACTATCAATCCTTTCAAATTTTCCAACTTTTTTTTTTTCATTTCAATCAACTCGTCGAAATAATTGTGAGAAATATGAATATGCAAATTGCTATGGATAGAATGTTTGTTATTTTCAACTTTCAGTTTAAATTTTAGAAATGATTAATAAATAATATGTATCGAATATAGCATAATGTATATTCGCTGTTCATTGTTATAGCAAACCTGATATTGTTAATATAAATGATATTATTTTACGATAAAAGTAAAAAAATTTAATTTCCTATTTTTATTCCAGAAATTAATCAAATTTATGAAGGATATAAATGAATCATGAATGTTTCAAATTAACTATTATAAATGCATGTATTATTTGAATGATTTTTTCAATCGATACGAAATAAATTGATACTTTTATTTGTTAATTAAATCAAATGCAAATTAATAATCCTTCTCGCTTCTTCAAAATCACCTAGAATTTGTGTATTTTAATTTTTTACAAATATTTTAAATATGGCAATATTTTTTTCGTTTTCTTTTTTTTTTCGGATTTTAACTTCCGAAAATATTCAAAACGGATGGAAAAGAAATTGCGCTTTTTATAATACGAACGATTGCATTACTATAATTGTCATGCTTTTTTACTAATTAACAGTTTATTTTGAAAATTTGTTCTCAAATTGTCTAATTGAGGCTACAATAAATTTGATTGCATACTTCCAAAAAAAAAAAAAAAAATGGAAAAAAGAAGGACAAATATTCTGTCTTCAAATTATTTCACGTAAATAAAGTAAATAAAATTAGGAAAGGAAATTTTTGACAAAATAACAAACGATTTTTACACACCATGACTAGGCTTCATGAGTGAAAGCTTAGGAAAGGCCTTTATCCAAATTCATAAATGCGAATTTATCCATCGAGAACTTTTGCAGTGGATTTTTTTGGTAAGACATCTCGTGTGCGAACTGGCCTAACTCCTAAAGTTCATCTGTCAGAGCCTAGCAAATTAGGATGATGACAATGATGTTCTCAGAACACGTAGGTTTCATTCAAATATCTTACTCTTAGAAAAATAACCTTACAGGGTTAAATGACCTTCATCTATCCAGGTTTGTTGTTGAAATTGTTCTTCGTCTAAGATGGTTGTTGACAGGCTAGCAAGCTTATCTTATCCGTTGACATACTTCGTTTGATTTTTCAATTAAGATCTCTCTTGGCATGAAAGACCATATTGAACGCATTAATCATTGCCAACATAGTTCGCAAACCTCAAAGGGCACAAAAGACTTCTTCCTTGTAATAAAGCTGTTGTCCGTAGTATTCTTACTTATCAATGAGTATACGTACATTTTTTTTTTTATTTAATGATACGGTAACCTAGAAATATTATATGTATCGATTCAAGGTAAGAGGAAAAGAATGAAAACCAAATTTGACTGCTACCTTGCTCAAAAGTAATTGTAATTTTGGAAATGAAATAATTTTTGATAATTTCTCGTCCTTTCCACCATCACAAAATATTTTCCATCATAATAAAAACAAAATTATTGATGAATTTACTGATAAATATTGCTTGATTCTGTTATCATTTTTACAAGATTTATTAATATTTTAATCAATAAATTGTTCCATTTCAATAATCTTCAAACTTATCATATTTTATTTGCTTTATTGCATCGTGCAATTTTGTTCTACTTTTTTATAATCTTACTAAAATAAACTGCCTGCATTTATTAATATTAACTCATTCATTTCAAATTTTCATGGATTATTTTATTTTCAAAATAATGCAATAATTTTATATTTTAATTAAATCGTTTTTGAAATATACCAACTTAAGCTAATTAAATCATTTATGCTAAAATTCCCGGTTCATTTTAACGACGAAATATTCTACAAATTATATTAAAAACCTTATGCATAATTTGGATTATAAAAAAAAAAAAGGGAAGAATTTGCATGGTAATTTTCGTTTCGTTTTATTTTCTCATATCATAACAAATATTTATCATCAAGAATTTAAGTTACTACTAGAAGTAATGCCTATTGGACAGTTAGTGTAACTTAAAATAAACGTTAATTTTAAATTTTTTTAAAATATCCTCTAATATTTAAAAAATTTTTTTGATTATCATTTAGTAACACGGTATAGCATTAAGCATTGTTTAGTGATAACAGCGCTTAAATATCTTCTAAATACTTTTTCCAATATTCAGTTAATATGTTTTGGTAATTTTTTTTTTCATGTTTTGTTTTTTCGTTTTGTTATTTGATTTTTAGTTCTGTAAATATCATTTCCGGATGGAATGTTAGTCATTCAAGAATGTTAAGATATTTTAACTTAAACATTTTCCATTTATTTTACAATTTTATCATTTTTCTAACTTAAATGATAAATTAACACCTCTTTCCTATCTTTTTTTCTTTTTTTTGTTTTTTCATTTTTAATTGAGCAAAAGAATGAGGAAATAATGCATGTAAAGTAGTTAATTTTATACATTTATACTAAATGAAATATCATCCTAAATCATAAATTGATTTATTAATAAGATTATTAATCAAATTTTTAAATTGTTTTTAAAATTTTGATTAAAATTTGAGGCGGTCATATTAGCACGTACTGCACTGATCGTTTTCTTGATTTTTGTTTTTTTTTATTTTTATTTCTTCACTTGCTCAGTAATTCATATGCTTTTTTTTCTTTTTTTTGTTATAGATTCAGTTAGTTCATGAATATGCCATTCATCCTCGGTCAGTAATTGACCTCGTTCAATGGCGTTTTGTCTTATCTCTCTTTTTTTTGCAATCAATGCAGGACAGCTTATCATCGGACCAACCCCACCATTAAGGGGTCATAATGGTAATATCAATATATTACCTTGATATCTATGATCTGATTACTTTAATTGGATCACTGAAATGATAGATGAGAAGGAAACAATTCTTTAATACATTTATATTATCATTATAGGAATATATTTTATTTTTAGTAATTAAAAAAAAAAAACGAAATTATTACCTAATAAGTATTTTAAATAGACAAGAAAAAAAAGTGAGGAAAAGTATTGAAATTTTAAAAAATCAAAATTTAGAAAATTTCAATAAATTGTATTTAAAATTAAACAAAATTTATCTAACTAAAATTGTCTAAAATTAAATTTACAATGTAAATGGTTCATTTCGATTTCTTTAATGTCATCAGCAAAACAATTTTTTTTTCCTTTTTTTTTGCGATAAATTTGTCTGTCTATAAAGTGCAGTTAAATTACTTTAAACTAATTTAACATTTACTTGATGCAAAAAAAAAAAAAACTGATCTTTTCCGAAAATTTTGTTCGATAATGTAATTTTCAAATTTTCATAAAGTGTTTTTTTTTCATAAAATTTCATGATGTTATTTTTAAAATTTTTTTTTTTTCAAAATCAAATTACTTATGATATATTTGGTCATTTTCAATAGTTTCAAATGTCAATCATTCATTTCAGTATCATTTAGATTACCGTATTGCAAACGAAAGTTTTTTTTGTCATACAATCAATGACCATGTAATATTCTTTGATCTTTACAAATAATTCGATCAAAATTATTTATTTAAATGATTGAATTGAACGAGTAAATATTATTACATTTGCATTTAAAAATATCCTTGTTCCTTAAAATTTGAATTAATAGTTTGTGCATTAATTTGAAATCATAATGATAAATTTCTAAAAATAAACAATGTTTTGCAACGTTATACATCAACAAATTTATCACTTTCATAAATTACCAAATTAATCATAAAAAAATTTGCGCATAATTTCCAAACGCATCTAATAGTTGCAGAGCTGATGTAATAAAGTAAATTTACTTTTTAATTAACTTAAAAAGTTTATTTCACTTATAGTAATTAGTCCAATTTAATGAGTAATGATCCTAAAATTTAACAAATCTCATTTTTTTCTAAATTTATCGGACCAATTTTTTTCAAATGAATTCACAATTACAGTTAAGTTATTCGTCGTTATTTGCTCAAACCTGTTTTAGCATTAAGTTGTTTAATATATTTTATCGATAATGAATCAATAAGTTTTCCAGTATTAAAAAAAAAAAAAAGGAGTAACCATATTTGTGTAAACTATTTTAATATTTCGAATAGATGACTAAAATACACTTTACTTTGGTAAGAAAAAAGAAAACAAGCAAAAAGGTTGGCGGTCAAATTTGTTAGTGTTGCACCATTTTTTTTTTCCATCCTTTTATACCCAAGATTTTATAGTTTTTTTGGTTTTTTTTCCTGAATTTTTTTTTTCTTACACTTTTTTTTCAATCATTTTCAAGTATTTTGCATTTTTTTCGATAGATTTTTTCTCATTTTATCACTTTTTTTGGTTCGGGAGGATGTGAATAATATATTTTTTCTCCTTAATTCAGCATTCAACCATACGCAATCCACTGATTTTTTCGGGAACACTCACAAGGACCAGCCCAAAGATTTGATCATATCTAATCATACATATAACAATGATACATCTCAGCTTCTAACTCCGAATGGATTATTATTTGGAATCAGAACCTAAGATATGTTCAGTCATTGTTATATGTGCATCTCTTAACAGAGAAGGAGATGGCTGATGTGTACATTTGTTGAAGAATCGATTCAATTTCCTTCCCTAAATATCTTATCAAATTTTTCCTAATTCGTACTGACGAATAGGATGAAATCATCTAGGGCATCGAATAGATTGGGAAATTTGCATGCATTCGTAAAAGTTTACGACTGAGGGATTTACAATATCGAATTCCATTACTGAAAACTAAACAATTCTAGCAGAATCATTTTATCTGGTCACTTCATTTGACCTTTATTCTATATTTTCGATATAAATTTGATCGTTTTACCAGGTATAAGGTTGATTTTTGAGAAATTGTAACAAAACAAATTCCGTCAATGTAACGTTACACTGAATGATTCCCATATCGCGTAGAGAAAATGCCTCTGAAAAATTTTAGAACATTTATAACATCGTTTCTACATTGTCATAACTTTCATTTTCTTTTTTCTCATCATGTCTAAACTACTCTCAATCAGTAGCATTTTGTCGAAAATGAAAACTTAAATGAACTGTGTAATAGCTTTTATTGAACTGAGAATCCAAATGAGTGCATAAATATTCGAACAATACATGAAAAAGCGTATTCCACTGTTTTATTGATTTAGGAAAGGAAACATCTATTGACATGGAAAATGGTTTTGAAAAAAATTATTTGTTGAACATCATAATTGGAAGAAGTAAATAAAAATGTATTCCATGGATACACAGCGTTTTATAAAGCAACATTACAGGAAGTTTCTCTCCCAAAAAAAAGAAAAAAAAAGAAAAAAGACCAACGATGAATTTCCAAGAAATCAGTAACGGTTAAATTAAATTACAGGACAACATTTTCGCCTTATTTGAAATTCTTAATTACAGATACGAAGCTCTTCTTTCCTTATCTCAGTAGACCATAGAACCAAATGAGACTGAAGATGACAATGCAAAATAAGATTGGTGGTGCCTCCCGTGGAAGAAAAATAGATTTTTTTTTTTGTTCTGTACAGGTGAACAATCGAATAAGGACTGGAATAACTGCCATATAAATTACAAAAAGAGATCAACATAACATGTACCATTTTGAATGAGATTTGAAAATTTGAAAGCCCACCGATCCAAATAAGTTGGCTTTTTTATCGGATGAGCAAATGTTACTGCATTATCTGCTTTACAAAAGAAATTATGAACAATAAAATGTATAAGAATAATTATAATTTAACATTATACTTCAGATCAGAAATGCGGATCAACGCGAGAAGATACTGAAAGAAACTTCACCTCTACATTCGAAAGATCCCTACTTCTCAAGATGAAATAGCTTAACCAAAAACGCACTAGTGATTAAATTGTTTGAAATTTCGGATTAAATAAAAGATGAAAATAGTTGTTGCTAATCGGGTACGCGCTCTATCCAGTACCATCACAAGGACTTGTAAATGATGAATAACAATAAAAACAGAAGTAGCACAGCGATAATAAGCAGCAACAAACGATTCTGGATTATTCTGAAAAACTAATGGGATTTTAAAATCAATCCTAGTTTGTTCATAAACCATTTGAAATAAATCACAAAAAGAAACGCCAACGACAAATACCTGCGTATCATTACTGATAACATTTTATGGCTTCTATTTAAATCTCTGTCTGCTTGCCGCATACGTTCACGTGCCCGCATTATTGTTTCACGTTGGGAACTCAGGTCGTTTAATACTTCCGTTCCAATCTAAAAAAATTTTATTGAGAATTATACTTAAAGATACCACACGCAGTTATTATCCGTTCGTCAATACCACACTAACCACGAGCATAGATAACTGCGTACAGAATTTTGCCAAACTGCGAGAGATATTACTACTTATTCACTTATTACAGCTTCTGTGTTTCTTTTTTTTTTTAAATTTTCATCAAGTCTCACTGTATTCAGTTTAGATACAGAGTTATTTGCATTGTGCCCTAATCAAATGAAGTAATAAGTGTTCAAAATAAGCTTATTTTTCACTTCCTCTTATCTCTTAATTTTTTGAAAAATAAAATGCATTTTCCAATCGCAAACAAAAACTAGAATCACAACGGTAGTATCTGTTTACTATAAGTGATGAATTTTGGAAGAAAAAGAAAAAATGGAGTGCCGTCCAATAATTACAAAGAAATCCAAGCAGAAAAGAACCTGGTCCGTTTCAATCACCATTCTGTAAGTGTCTTGAAGTCTTCTGGATGTTCTCTCCAACCTTTCGGTATTTTCAATCAGTTGATCTTGCTACAGAAAATGACAAAACATTACGGCTTAACATGAAATCAGAATTCGTTGCTCACGGCTAAAGCCATTTATGAGTTTCACTGGAAAATCACAGAGCGACAGAAAAAAGTTTTCCTATTAATATGTTGCTTCTTCAATTATATATTTATTTAAAATCTGGAAAATGTAGTTCCACACTTTTCGCTCTCACAAATAGCGTATTCCTATAACTATATCATCCTGTTTGCAAAATGATTTTCACGAAAAGGATTTTCATTAGCTCAAGAGTTTCGATGAAACAGCAAATCTATCAATTTTGATGCGGATCCAAGGAATTCTAGGTGCCATTTGGCTTGAAAATTGCACTCTAACCTAACCACTGCAAGGATAATGAAGATGAAAAAAGAACATATAAGAAAGTTAAAATTCTATCAATGAATAAGTAGATATAACAAAAAAATATTGTGAAAAACGAGGAAGAGTAGAAGACCAAACTGACCAACCTGATTCAAAGAAATTTGATTATCATATGCCATCAGTTCATCCCGATCAGCATTATCCTTCAAGCGTTGAATTGCTTTATCCAGTTCAGCGTCCAACTGCTTTTTGTCATTTCGATAGCTGCGAACTCTTAACTCATATTTCGACCGTTCAGCACTGCAAATCGAAAGTATATTCAAGTGACTTCTCAAAAAGTGCACGTCGAAAAAGTCTAAGCTTTTTCAATTTAATAATGATTTATAAGAATATTCTGGGATTACTGAATTCCACTACATCCGTTCATCTTCTCGCTAAAGTATTTTGACTATGCATACGCCCACATTTTACAAAGAGAACAAAGTCACAGTTATTTTCGGGTGATAACAAACCGTACCTTGATGGCTTTAATTCCCTAACTGTTAATTCCATTTGTTCCAGAAGATTTTCAACATCAACCAATAAACGTTGAATCTGATGAATCCCTTCAACTCGCCCATTTTTGTCCAAATCTCTCAAACGTCCGATACGTGCTGTAATTTCAGCAGTCTGCACTGAGTACTGATGCTCGAAATCACTTAACAATAACGTATTGGCTGCCATCATCTAGCAAGTTAATTCCTGAATAATACCATAATATCCTAAAAAACAGATACATTTTATGACAAATAAAACAGCAGTAACATATTGTCAGAATCTCCTCATATGTAATTACAGTGTATTTTTCGCTGGTTCTTTTTTATCTGAACTACCACTTATCCAGCTTTAAAAATAAATATCCAGGAAGTTTCTCAATCAAAATGCGATCATTAATCAGTACAATTGAAAAATCGGATATATCTAAGAAATACGGTGGTAACAATAACTTGATAAATTACATCCACATAATGCTTGTATTATTAAACAAGGCATTGTTTAAGAATACACTACATTGTGTGAAAAACCCGGAAAGACAATAAGACTGTAAAACAAAGTAATGAATTATAATGAAAATGGGGAGAAAACCAAAAAAACAACCAATTCATGTCGAAAGGATTTCGGGAGCTGCTTAGGCACAAGCTTCAAGCTACCATACGGACCCTACAAAACTTCATGCAAGTAGCTTGATTTTTCTGATCTGCAAAGCAGGAATAATTTCCAAAAAAAACAAAAATAAACCAGGCTTTGCTTCAGCTCAATGTAGACACTATTCACTACAACACCACACTACGAAACATTTTATTGGTGAAAACTTTCAACTCACGAAAAAAATGTGAAACAGGTTCGATAGACCTAAACAAATCGCATGAAGAACACTGTGCAATTATTTATTCATTCTAATTGTATGAAAAAATTCACTGCATAAACGTGTAAAATCCGAACACAAAAATGTGTGCTTACGTATCAATATGACTATCAATATCATATTGAAGTATTTTATGAAATACCCATGAGATATCATAAGACCTGAAATTCACCATTTGATAATAGAAAAACACAACAATCTGTGGAAGTTTCAGAGGAATTTTGTGCTGTGTCAATATATTAAAACCGGTTATGTATGTACATCGGAAAATTTATAGATGATAAAAAACTCAAGAATGCAATGTCGATATGGTGTAGCATAACAAAACATTAGACAATATCTCACATATTTACTATTAACAAATCGAAAATCGCACGCATTTTACTGTCTCCTATAATGAACATAAGCTCGATTTGCTTCACACTGTTTGTGCAATTCCTGCTTTGCTTGCACTGTTAAACCTTCGTTTTTGTAAGCAGCAAGCAATTCATCAGCTAAGATGTGCTGAAAATGAGTAGCACCATGGAAAGTTTTTTGTCGGCAGATATCGCGCATTGTTTTCATTGCTCTGAATTCAGCGTGGTGCTCCGATATCGGACATGGTACCATATAAGTTTGCCCACCTAAAAAAAAGGAGGAATAAATTCCTGACAGTGAGAAAAACAGCGTAAGAATCATTTGACATTAAACTTCAAGAACAAAGTTGATACGGCATAATTCAACCGCGCATTGAGTTGAAATCAAATAAAATAAGGAGCCGATAAGCGCAAAATTACTTTGACAGGATGTATGCCAACCAAGTAAACATCAATAAATTCGTAAAGGATAAGGAAGAAGTTTTGTGGTCACTTAATGCAAAGATTTCCCAGCAAAGATTGAATGTACCTTTAAACGACAAAATTTAAGTAAATATCTGTTCCTTTTCACACATTTCATATATCATTTGAAATTGATTTCCATTAAAACAAAACCATTTGAGCAAAATTTTAAAAAAAATGAAAAAAGTGAACAAAAAAGGACTTACCACGAATAAATGGACGTAAAATCATTATAGGACAACAATTCTTGATAGCTTTCTCGGTAATTGCTACAGGATCAAGCTCTATTTTCTCTTTCTGTTCATCACTAGCATTTCTCCACAAATTGTACTGACGTCTTTTTATTATTTCTAATGCTTCCAAAACAATATTCTGCATTTTTTCTGTAATAAAAAAAGATAAAGCATAGGATACATTCATTTTGATCCCACTTAAAAGCTTTTCAATTTAAATAAATATCTGGTGATTCTAAGAAGGATGGCATGATATTTCAAAGATACGTGACAGAAAGTATCACAAGTCTCACACGTTATTTAAATTCTGAATTCTGAAAGGAAGACCATATGCTAAAAGTTAGGCGCAATAAGATTCAATAATATAAATCATAAGCTACCTAACGAATCAGTGAATAAACCAAACACAGAGATTGCTTTAACCAAGAATTCTTACAGAGAACTATCACGACTTTGGAAATTACTGAACCTTGGGAGATAGAGTTATAATATATTACAAAAACGTCCAGAATATAATATACTTTGCCAAAGAGCCAAACAAGAAAGACTCAAACAGGACTATCCAAAATTTAAACGCCTGGTTTCAAAAGAGTCCTACTTTTGGTACTTAACGAAAAGGATATGAAATGAAATCCCAGATTAATATCAAAAATTTCCATCCGATTAATGAAATATTCTGACTAACCTTTCATTCCACGCAGCATACACACATTAATTAACCTATCTATGACAGCATTTCGATAAAAAACTGGTGTCTGAACACTGGTCATTGCTTTTATATAGCAGTATCGGCGATCATCTTCCGGATCCAGTGGTTGATTAAGCTGAAAATGACTAAAAAAATTCCAAATCCTTCAATTCACTATTCCATACAGTCTGATGAGAATGATATAGGCTTAAGGTCTAAGGTCTTTTTACTCTCTCTTCATATGTTGTAACATATTGGATCGTCTTATTTTTGTACCCAAAATGACAGCTGGATTACCCAGTGAAGAAGCTGTTACAAAAGGAAGAGAAAAAAAATGCAGGAGGTAATACAAATCAAACAACCTTATTCTGACAAATTTGAAATGAATAAACGAGTTCAATTATATTCCTCTTTTTCTTCTTCAAATGGTAGCGTGTAATAACGACTCACTTTTAAGAAAAGTAATACATCACAAAAATTTTATTTTCCGTATGATGAAGAACGATATGCTAAGCTTTTGTTGGATTTTATTACAGCTCTACAATATGCTTTACAGCAGTGAACGGTATGGTACTTAGCAAAGCAAGCTGGCTACTAACATGACCATCATAAATGAAACTCAGTGACAGCTGATTAAGACCAACTGCCATATTACCACCTGCATTTCACACTAACCAAATAATTGTTAAACTTTGATAATATGAAGGAATTATTGGTAAAAGGACATGGTAATCCATACTATACATAATAGCAACAACCTGTTCCAGGTCGACAATTGGTTCACGAAATACTTTCGGATCATATCTGGAACATAATACTGTAGATCCGGAAAGCAATCGTCTAGATGTAATACTATGTACGCATAAGTATGATCCGTTTTCCAATAATTTTACCAACAATTTCATGCTGCAATATGTATTAAATTAGCATTTCATTGGTACCAACACGAACTTGAATAGACGTAAAACACGTTTAAGCGTCACTATCCTCCCTTTCTTTACTTTACAAATTTTAGGCAACTATTTAACGACTATCGCTTAAATTCGTAAAAACATTACTACATGTCAAACATTTCTTACGTTTCATTACGTTTCAACAAGCGTAGGTGACGTACGCAAGCAATGCAGAAGTAATGTGGCCCGACGTGAAACAACGTGTCAACAGGAACATTCCCCTCTCTATCAAAATTAATAATTCCAGAACAGACCAATCATGAAATAAAACCTGAGCAATACTTGACAAGTTCGAATACCTTTTTCGCATCACACTCTTCCTCTTTCAATCACTGGTACAATGTATGCTCGTTGTTCTTGTGCCGTTTCTCTTAACGTCCGTAGCATTCTATCTCGTTGCATCAATCTCTGCGCTCTCTTCAGTAATACAAAAAACTTTTGATGCTCATTATCATTATCCCTGTATCTTTCTCAATTTCCACATATTATCTCATCTTTCCTCTCCTGAAACATCTCCTTACATCCCATTGTGTTACTTATTGATATGATAACAAAATATGGAAATTCTCTGTTGTCACAAATTGTCACCTTCGAAATTTTTGAAAGGATCAAAAGTTTCCGAAAAAAAAAATTCCAAAAAAATTAAATGTCTGGTGTAAGTTTTAGTATATGTCATATTTTCACATCTAGTTTAATTTACAAGTCAAATTAAATTTGCTTTTTGCCCAATCAAATTCTGGAAGGATCGATAATAACTGTTATAATATGGTCAGGAAAACGTGATGACCAAAAATGACCAGTCATTCAGTGCTCTTTGATTCTGAGCCCTTCAACTGTGATAAGCTTTGGTTGTGGTAAGCTTTGATTTGATAAGCTTTAACTGTGATAAGCTTTGATAAGCTCCATCGGAGTTATGATTGAGATGTCTTTGTGATTTTCTTCCCTTCATCGTTAGCTTATATCTTTCTCATTGCCTTAATTTTACTTACAGAATTTCATCATCCTATCTAGTAGATATCGTAGAAATTTGATTTGGACGTAACTTTAATTTCAATAATCCGACAAATGTTAGCAATTGAAATATCCCATTTGAGTGGATGGACTATCGTTTTTGTTTCTTTATTAGACTAAATAGACCAATAATTTTCTGCGGCTTAACTCATATTTTTCATGGCCTTCATTTGGTCATTCAATAAGAAAGAATGACCAAATGAAGGCCGAAACAAATTGCCTTTTTTTTTATTTTATTTACTTTTATTAGGTTTACTTTGTCTTAAAGATTTGAAATTTTCAAAAAATTACCATAATGTGTTCAGTAATACAACCATTATATGGATATCATTTACCATATCAAATCATTATTACCACCATATTCCATATAGTGACCCTTCGTATTGGATGACAGCACTGTCCGATAGTGCTAAGACACATGTTTGAATATCCTTTTTATCAGCTTACAGTATTGTCCGATAATGGTCAAGATGGATATTTGAATATATTATTTATTAAAAAAATCTTTGTTATTATCTTTTTATATCTAATAACAATATGAATGGCAATGATTTGCCTAGGAATTTGTCTTTGAATGCGTAATATTTTTTTCTCAAATTGAAATTATTTCTGTATGATTTCAAAATTTTGAAATTTTGCTAAATTTGTGTATTTTGTCATCTTAAACATATGTAATTAAAATGACGGAACATTTTTTTTTATAAATGAATCAAATCTTAATCAATTTCTTGAAATAAACGGTATGTTGATATTTTAGATGTGCATCATTCCAAAGTATTTAGAAATAGTCCGAACATTCCTTTTCTTCAAAGGCTGCACTTTTTTTTTTTTTTCCTGCATACCCTTCTCATAGCTAGTAATATTCCAATTTAGGAACAGTCCTGAGATTTCTTGATTTAGTATTTTTGTAAGAAAAAAAATTAATTTGTTACTTTTGTTTGGTTTTAATTTCAATTAATTTGTCGCTCTTATTTCATTTTGTTCGTTTCAATTAGTTGGTCATTTCGCAATTGTCTATATTAGAAATCTTTTTTTTTTTTCTTTTTCCTATTTATTGAAAAATGAAAATAGTTGACCTTTTTGAAGAGAAGAAGGAAGTAAGAGAAAAAAAAAGCGAATGATTTAAAAAAAAAATAAAAAATAAAATGAATGGAACTGTATTTAAAGGAACGATTGCGACGCTTTTTGCACAATAATTGCTATGAAAGTTCATATTTTGAAAGTTCTTTTTTTTTCCTCCATCAATTTCTTTTTTCTTTTTCTTTTTTTATTTTAAAATATCATTTATATTACTGATAGCAATTGATATGTAATCATTATTTTTTTTTTTTTTGTTTACTTAATTTAATCTCAACTCTTTTACAGTTCATCTTTACTTTACGGTTTACATATTTATAACCTTTATTCATCTATAATAAGTCAGTCGTTTTTAACCATTACTCCATTAACCTTTCATAATTTGATTTATAACATTGTTGCGTTTAGCATTATGTGCGATCATATGACAGGTCCCAATGATACGGAAGATATTACCGGAAAAGGAACGATAAATGGTACTTTAGGTTTCTCTTGAATGAAATTTTAACAAATAATGGAAATGATGAATAGCTAAAGCAATCCATTCATTCTTGTTTATTTTGAAATTGTAGCAGAAAATTTCGAAATGATATCATTTCCGGATTTCAAACACTGCACTAATATAATCTTGCCGCATTTTTTCTTGCACATGCGCAATGACTAATCTCATTTGGATATATTTTCTGATCCGGTACCAATTAATGCTCAAACTGGTAATTAGTCATCCAAAATACTCATATTGACAATGATTTTTAGAAATTCCGGTAGATGCTGGAACCGAAAAAAAAATCATGCGACAAGAAGTTTTCCCCCCTTTAATAGTTTTTTTTTTACTTGTAGCAAACTTCTTGCTAGGAATTTTTTCACTTTTAACCTTTTTACTTATTTTTTACTATTTTTTTTTTTACTTTTTACTTGTAACAAGTAAATGGAATTTAGAAGGATATGATAAAAATTTGAAGATATATTCACAAATTTCTAACTGGAAAAATGTCCAGAAATTTTTCATCCCAAAATATTTTTCATCAAATTATGATAAAGCAATGGGACAAAGTATAAAGTAAATAGATATGCAACTGTTAAGCTTGAAATAAATGATAAAAAATACAATGAATTGAATTGAATCAATTACTTTATGTATCAATCATATCAAATTCTTTTCTCGTCCTTTTTCTTTTTTTTTTCTTACTAATACTCATAATATTTTATCTTATCATTGCAGCAATCAATTTGTTTACTTATTCTTTAAAAGTTTAATGATCTTTGTTTATTTACTTTTTACAGGCTTAACAATCAGTTAATTTTGAATGGTTATACAAAGGCAGGAAAGTTAATTTAACAATTCTTGGTAGAAAAGTTCACGATGAGTAAAATTTGCTAAGTCATTTAAGCCTAAAATGCTTTCTGTTGCAATTGATGAAGTTAATCCAATGACTAAATTTACTTATTTTTAGTTTCATTCCAATTATTTCATGAACATCTAAGTGTTATCATCAGGAGTAATCACAATAATTTTTGTTTTCCAATTAAGAAATAAATTTTTTCGAAATAATTTTTTTGAAATAATTTATTTCAGCTAAACGTAATCCTCATGGCTATCAAATTTCAAGTTGGCTATTTTTTTTTCTTTTTTAATCTAAATGATTTGATAAATTAATTGAATTAGAAGTATACCATCATACTGTTCGTTATTTTCAAATTAAATTTGAAAGATAAAAGGAAATTCCATAAATTTTATTATCACATTTGCCTTTCTGAAATATCACATCTTAACATGAAGCAAGAATCGAAATGTTGGTTTTATCTACGGGATGAAGTACCACAGAGTTTGTCAAATGAAGTACCACAGAGTTTGTCAAATGAAGTACCACAGAGTTTGTCAAATGAAGTACACAGAGTTTGTCAAATGAAGTACCACAGAGTTTGTCAAATGCATTTGTTGTATACGAATTGGAATTGTTGCATTCTTGAAACAAAATCAAATATTTACGCTCAAAATGGAATTGTACATGTGGAATTAATACATTTTTTCTCAACTTCTTTTCGAAAAATACAGTTAAGAAGCGCTTTTTTTCTTTTTTTTTCCCCTTACTCAAATGTCAAAAATAAGCGTTCGCATTACATGTGCATGCAACATAGACATGCATATGCATGCATACATTTATATGCACTTCATAATCGAGTAGTATATATATATATATATATATGCATATATATGTAAACATAGATTCCGTTCATCTTTTATTTCAGTTTTTACATTCAAATTGTTTGATATAAAATTGTCATTTGTTATACATCGCTCAATGCGCAAATGTTTTCAAAGTTTAATCGATAATGCTATCTTTTAACATTATACTGTTTTGAAGACTGCTAAAGATGAGTGATATTTTATTACATTCATCTCCCATATTTTTTATTGGGATCCTTTTTTTTTTCTCGAAAATTTCTCCACTTTTAATCTGACATTTTTATTTTCAATTTTACATTTTCCTAATGAATGAAAATGATAAAATCATTCTTCCTTCTTACTGTACATTCCTGGCTTATAGATGGTGTTTATAAATTGTTGACTTTTTGCTGACCTTTTTTTTTTTGTTTTTCTTCTCAGGAAAATATCCATTTTATCTGTTATTAAATAAAGAGTACGATTGAGATTAGACTGTTAAGATTATGAATGTTAAATTTTTGTCTAAAATATACATATATAATATCTCAATTCCGGAAATTTACCACCGTTTTACGTGAAATTTCAACAAATTTTCAGGAATTAAAGTTTTGCTATCATTCGGGAAATATGGAAATGAATGCAGCAACAGGATTTGAAAAAATTGCCAATGAATTCCTGCTTTCAGTTAGAAAATGCATTCAACACCATTACAAGCCGGATATTAACGAGGTCTTTCTCTTAATTTCTTCATCTTTTCATTTCATTTAATATTTTTAAATTTATTTAAATTTGCATTTCAATCCATTTATTCAATTCAATATTACTAACTTACATTTACTTACTTTTTACAAATCACACTGATTTTCTTCTATTTATATATTTTATGCTTCCATGAGAATGAAATAATAGAAATATTATGCCATAAATTGATAGTAGTAATTACTTGTCGGTTTCTAAAATTAGTTTTCTTCCAGGACAGCTAATTGCAATTGCAATGTTATATGAGGAAATGAAAATGAGTAATTGGACTTAATTATTTTTTTCGCTTGAAATCCTAAATAAGATGTCAATTTAGTTATTAGGAAATTTCATTTTGAAATTACTATCAAAAATTATCTTACAGGGTTATCAAAAATATGACAAAAGGGAATTGCAATTAATGGATGAATTTTTCAAGATAAAATCTGCGGTAAATGCCACATTGTGTAATGCTATTGATGTGAAAATTATCGTTGAAAAATTATATCAATTAATTAACCTTGGTAAAGAGTATATTAATGAAATGGTTAGCAGTAATTTGTTTCATGAAATTTGTCAATGTTTGATAAAAATTATGATAATGTGAATTAGCTGTTTAAGTTTCATATATACATGTTTAGATTTAAATTTTGAAAACTTCCGATACTTACCATTTCAAGAAACTCGGGATAATAATTTTTGTTGTCAAAAGAATGCATTGAACGGTAGTTAACGCTCCAATGTACATTTCTTATTTGCTGTGGTATCATTAAATTTACAGTAATTTCTTTCCGCATTGCAGAAGCAAAGATTTGAACCAAAGAGATGGTGAAAGAACAATTTAAAGTATGATCAAAATTCAATTTGGGTTAAAAATTTTAATTTGAGCACGCTTAGTATATTCAAAATTAAATTTTACAGAGTGGAACTAAAACATAATGCATGCAAAGATGATAACTTACAACTTAGCAGTTGATATCCATAAAATTTCCAATCCGGAAAATCCAAATTCATTTCTATACTCAGCTAAATTACTGTATAATTTAAATTGAAGACGAATAAACACTATGAATTTAGATGGTTATTTGAAATGAATAGATCCAAATTAATTTGATATGCTAATTTTTCAGGAAGAAGAAAATAAAAGTCCGAATTGTTTGCTATTACGAAATATTGCTACGTATATGATTTCATTATTAAAAATACTTGGCATTACATCCAAAGATATCGATAATATTTTCTCCGTTAATTTCAGGTTTATCCATTTTTGCACGCAATGTTTATCAATCAAAATTTTCTCTCTTTTTTCCAAAATCATTTTTCAGTGTGACATCAATTTGCGATACTTTACTGAATACTTCTCCCCATGAATTGATCAGGCCTTATGTTAGCGCATTAACTGTTTTCCAAGAAACCATTTCGGAATTGGCTCAACAAAGGAATATCAACGATATCATCAAAGTAATTATGTCAAATTTTTGATTAATGTAGAAAATTCCAGCTAAAATTATTGATATCAAAGTGCAACATGATCAGTAAATCTGATAGGTGAAGAATAATTGTGAAATTGTGAAAAAAAAAATAGTGAAATTTGTATGAAAATATGGGGAAACAAAAAAGAAGAATTAAAAAAGTTGATAGAAGATAAAAATATAATTTCAATCGATGTTAAAATATTTAAAAAAATTTCACAATCATCAATGTTTCCCGAATTTCCATTTCTTTCATGTAATGATAAATTCATTTATAATGATAATTTTTTTTCCATATAATGATAATTTCATAAATTCTTTTTTTTTATTCAATTCCAATATTTCCGGAATTATGGTTTCTTCTCGAATGTAATGAATTTCATTATTTTTGTAATTTTCATGGTTGCAATTTTTTTTCTTTTAATATAATGAATTGTTTTTTTTTTCTTTTGACAGGTACTGAAACTTTGCTTTAGATACACTTACCAGGATGAATAATGAAATTAAATTTCAATAACTTTTTATCGATGCATTTAATAAAGCAGATTTTATTAACAAAAAAAGAAAAAATATTTTGATAAATGTATTAATATTAGAAAAGTTTGTTATCTATCTAATATCATATTTTCCTAACTTTCATCAAACATTCAACAAAATATAACATTAAAATTTCGTTATTATCTTGTGTTAAAATCTTTTTTAATAATTGTTATTGTATCTGTACATTTATATTTTTATTGTTTTCTCAATCTTTATCTTATTTTATCTAACAAGTTTTATTATTCTCTTGAATCTCATCAATGTTTTAACTCTATTCATTTCATAGCAGTAGATCATTTCATTAATCTTAACAATTTCTTGTTATTTTAGCTATATTCTCATTGTCTTCTCTTGATAACTTTCAATCTTTTATTGCGAAAAATTGTATCACTTGAGGAATTGATTAAAGCATTTCGGAATTTTTCGTATTGCATCGTTAACCTATCCTGAATTCAACAATTGCTAGATCATTTTATTTGATTATGATAGTTCTTTATTTTCCGATTCTTTTTCCTGAATTTCCTACGGGAACCAGAGATTTTATAGATTTGTTTATTAAATCTAATTTAACAAGCAATGTGATTACATTGCACAAATCCGGTTTTCTGCCAAATAGAAATTTGATAACATTTCTTGAGAATTTATTTATACTTTCCATCTAATCGGATCATCTCTTCAATTTCGTGCAATTCACAATTCTACAAAACTTATACGTTGCTTATTTCACGTACTCAATTTGTAGGAATGTGATCGCATACGGGATAAAGTACTTCCGGAATTGGGTATTATCCTCAGTGAAACGAATCCTAAAAAACCGGTACATACATTGAAAAAATGGCGTATGCCTGGCGAAGTTATTATGAATAAGGTAACTATATACTGTATTTTGTTTCATCAGATTTCTATTCTAGATGTATGCGAATTCAGTGAATTTTAAGATTAAATAAATTCAAATCTAAATTATCAAATTCAAATTCAAAGTCTTTCAGTAAAATTGTTACCAAACTTTTCAGTTAATTTTCATGTTTTTAGCATATAAATATCCATTGGCTAAAATGACATTTAAAACATTTCTCCTTCTTTCCCATTGGGTCAAAAAAAAAGGAAAGATTTCTTTATATTGATGTTAAATGATCATATCAGTTTTAATTGATAACAGTTTGATCAGTTTTTCAATTCCTTTCAATTCCCTGATGTGCTGATAATCCACTTTTTAAAATTATGAACCAAATTTTCCCATAATAATCTTCCAATAAACATTACTATTAATTAATTTTAATTCATTGGTATAAAATAATGTTTTAGCAATGAGAATCTAAAGAGAAAAAGTTCTACTTTTGTTCTTTTGCAACATTTTCACAATTTTATAGTAGCAATTATAATTTCATTTTATTTCAAAAGGTGCGACAAACACATAGGCCAGAGGTGACAAATTGGCGGAAGCACAGTGCGATAAAATCGATCAGAAATATTTTTATGCTTGGAATTTTCACAAAATTGTTATAATAAAACAAGAGAGAGAGGGAGGGACAGGGAGAGAGGGAGAGAGAGAGAGATGGATAAATATTTTGTATTGCATCAGATAGATTCCTTTTCAAATCCCATTAATGGTATAATCATTTCGAATTTAAATTAAAGTGGCATGTGCCATCAAAAAAAAGAAAGAGAAACTTTATCTTGTTTTATTTGCTTATAAAATTACATGTATTCCTATTTTTTATAGCTATAAATTGATAATGAAAAAAAAGAAAAAGATATAGAAGTAATAAGTTGAAATTTTTAATTTTACATATTTTATTGTGCACATTAAAATTTAATTATGTTATGCTATCAAGCAAAATGGATTCACTTGCTTATAAATTGTAACACTTAATTAGTAAATGATTTAATTGACAATACTTTATTAATTATCAAAATGAAATTTTGATTTTTATTTTTATTTAAATTTTTATTTTTCATTACAAGGAAATGAATTTGAATAATTTGATTGTTTAGCTTTACTTGAATGTAAAATATTTAAGCAAAATATGAATTAGCATAAAGTAAAGATTACCTTCATTTCATAGCAATTGTTTCATCGGAATGAATGGAATTTCTGAATGTTAAATGTCGATCAAATTAGGAAAAAAAAAAATAGCTCTTTATACTCATATGGTCTTTGTATAAATGCAAAAGACCCTTGCTAACCTTTGACCTTCAATAAAATTATGTTAACAATCCAGTTAAATTTATAAATCTTCCTGATTTCTTAATTCCATTCTAGCAGGATTAATTACTTGCGGAATAATAATTGTTATGAATAAGATTTCTTGTGTTAAATATGATTTGCATAAATGTTTGCATTTATTTTGGGCAAATTAATTATTATGTATATGATAATAGATGTGGTTTATTTTGTATCTACAACAATGTAAATGGTACTTGATGAAAAAGTTAGCCTAAAATTAAGATGAAATTTTCCTCTCGATAAATTCATTTCGTACGTTTATAGTTTGAGTATGTGAACGTGAATGATAAATTCAGAATGGCAATTGTTGAAATTCAATTAATAAGTTGCGATACATTCAATCATCTCAAGCATCATTTATTACATATTTAAAGAAAATTTCACGCGAAAATAACATTTGAACGAATTTGACAAGCTAAATACTATATCATCAAGAAACAAAGCAAAGAAATATTCATCAAAATATGCTCTTCTAAAATAAATTTCAAATCAGCTTAAGTTCGAATCCAATTTCTTCCATCCACAATTGCAGCTTTTAAAACTGATCCATCAAGGTCTTTTGATAAGAAAAGAAACAAGATGAAATATAATGCAGACAGGTTCAGAAATAGATGGATTAAAAGAAAAAAAACAAATCCAGATAATTCATTATTAAATTCGTTTCCATTTCACTGATTTCAGTTAATTCATGAACGATTCCTATGATGCAATAGCGAGAAAAAAAAAGTGCCATAAAGATTTAATTTTATCGGATAAGTGTAAAATTTAAAATCTAACATCGGATAACTGTAAAAAAAATATCTTGGATATGACTTTTTTTTTGGAACTAGCAATCTGAAACATTGTAAGAAATTTCCTAAAGTTAAGGTTTATTTATTCTTTGGAAATTCTCTTCATCAAGTATTAGCATCCTAATCATCCTTAACTTCTTTAATTTTAAGAACATTTCACAAAACCTGGGAAAGTAAAGTGGAACGATGGAATGATATTTTGTATTTTCAAATAATTTCTAAATCAACGATTTCGAAATTGAAAATTTAAAATCACGTTTTTCAAGGCATTAAAACGTCAATTGGAAAATAGTTAATTGATTAATCGTTGATGCCATCATTAATAAAACAAAGTTGCAATAACGAAAATACCAATAAATCTGATATGAAATCAAATTATAAAGGGAAAAGATGGAAAAAGATAAATCCGATATCAGTTATCAAATATTATCAAAGTTATGCAAAAATTATATGCCAATTTCTTGCATCCTCGTTTTTGTTAAACATAAAAATTTTTGAATTTAGTATGAAAAATAAAAAAAATTGATAAGATTTAAAATATAGTAGCAATAGTTAATTTTAATATCAACGTACATTTGTTTGATTAATCGATTTCGATTCTTTCTTTTTTTTTAAAAAATCAAATTTCATTCGCAAAAAAAAAAATGTTTTTTACAAAATAACCCTTACAAAAATACAAAAGTATAGAGAAAGTAATAATTTTGTAAAAGCAAAAAAAAAAAGAAAAAAAAAGAATGGAGCAAATATTTCATTTATTAGCATTCCTATAACTATGCAAGAATAATAATTGTTTTTGTGAGAAAATTATAGATAATATGGATATTTGCACGAATTTGCAAATTATACAGGGTGGCAAAAATTTTGAGATGACATTTGCTGTAATTAGAAAATGATTTTTTAGTTGGTAAGAAGATAACATCATTATTTAAAGTATTAAACCAATCAATATTGCCATATTTTACTATTGCTTAAAAATGATATATGCTTTATTTCATTAAAGAAAAAAAAAAGCATTTTTGAGCATAAAATGATCAATCAATATTGGTTTTTATATTAGCAAGTAGAGAGATGTGCTCATAATTGCAATGTTTTTTTAAATTCAAATCTTTTCTTGGCTTACTTTCAAACCTGAAATTACATTGAAATCAATTCTTTTTCTCCTTTTTTCCAAGGTAGTTTTATAATTTTTGCACACTCTGTATAATTTAATGCTGTTTAAAAAAAAAAAGAAAAAAAAAGAAGAAGAAAGAAACAAAAACAAATTAAGCCCGCTTAAATTCTGCTTCAAATAAAATATCATCACCTAATGTAGCAAAGATTTCATTCAACAGAAAGACTGGCTATCACATTTGATGTAAAATGAAAATTTGAAATGCTACGATAGATTTAACCTAAATTTCAATCATTAATAACTATATCCAATTACTATTAGTTCATACATAAAAAAGCAAATTAAAATAATAGAAAAGAAAGGGAAAATTTGCAAACAAATTAAGGGCTAAATTTTATCATGAATCTATTTCATATTAAATTAAAAATTTTTGAAGGAGCTATCCAAACATTTTGCTGATTTGTACATCCGACTTCTCAAAATATTCTAAATTACCGTTATAGAAATTAATTAATTAAATTAATGAGCACCACTTGCTTGAAGTTATTCCCACAAAAGTTATTGCAACAGTTCCAGATTTGTTGCCACTATTAAAAAAAAATACCTATTAAAATTAATCATTTATTCATATTACTTCATATGGTTTCTTGTCATTTCTCTAGTGCTGTCAACTCCGCTTACCTCTGACATCTGTCAATTTCGCTTGCCTCTGACATCGAACGCTCTCTTCAATCTAATTGACGATGCATTTGCTAGATTATATTAAATTCAAGCAAGCAAAGGTATGAGTATGAATCATTAGGAGAAAATAGCCGTATCATAGCTATAATACACATATCATCGATTCCTGATCTGAAAAAGCATATTTATCCATCCATTTTTCTTTTCGTTCTTCTTTCCATTCCGGTCTTAATGATCTGTAAATTTTTAATGATCTCTGACAATCTCTGAACAATGTAATGATTAGAAAGAGAGCTTTTAACATGATTAAGAAAGATTAGAAGAAGAAAATGAAGTTACAAATTCCGCCAAACAACATAAAGAAAAAGTGATGAAGCTAATTTGAATGGACAAAAAATTGGAAGAAACCGGAAGAAAGAAAATGGCTGATGGAAATTGGAATTTCAGGTTGATTTCTGATTTTCTCTTTTGTCTTCTTGGTTATTTCCTCATTCATATAAATGGCATATTATGCGAACAGTATGCTACAGAAAGATATATATATATATATATATCAGTATTATGATTCGACACAATTTAAAGACGATTAATTTAAAAAGAGGAAAGAAAAAAAAAGGGAAAGAAAAGAATAAATAAACAAATAAATAAATTCCATGTGTTTAAAACAGAATATATGTCTTGTATAATGCGCATCAAATGTTTAATTGTTTACAGATTAATTTGTTTCTCTTATTGTGAATGCTATTTCTATTTATTTATTTATTCATTTATTTTTTTTTTCGCAAAAATATTAACGAAATAAGCAAATTGTTGATTTTAGCTAAAATATACAAAATGAATGAAATATTTATGGCAAATATCCATGTGAATATTTATATTAATACTTTATGAAATTTAAAAAAATCCAATTCGTTTTTTTTTTCATTTTTTTCTTCATAAGTTATTTTTGAAAATTTGATGGTTTTTTTTTTTAAATTTCCTTTTTGTATGATTTGTATAGATATTTTTTTCATTTATGTGTTTTTTCTCTAAAACTTTAATGGATGAATTCAAAATCAAGCTCATCGGTACTTTTTTTGTCTCCAAACAGTCCATCTCGATGTTTTTTGGGCTCCTTGTCATCCAGGCTCGTCATTGTTGTGATAGTAGTTTCGACAGAATGATGAGTATCAGTGGATCCACCAGTTAAATTATCATCATCCACCTTGAATTTATCTGAATCACCAGTTAAAAATGCTTTGGTATCTCCGAAATCCGATGATAACCTATGATCTGCATTAGAAACAGTGTAGCTCTCAGTATGAACTTCATATTTACGCCCATCATCTCCCATCATTTCTTCTGTTTTCATCGTGAATTGCAAATCCGGTTGATGTTTTCCGTCTCCTTCACTGAGCATCTCATCAAATTTACTTCTCGTAGATGAGATCAAATTTTGTACAGAATCTGGTAGAGCTGATGAAATAAAGCCAGTTAATCCGAATCTATGAGTCGCTGTACTATGATCCATTGCAGATTTGTCAGCATCAAATTCTGGCTCTACCTGATTTAAGTCAACTTTTTCACTCGATATATGTTCACCACTTTCCATATCCTTTGATTCACCACTGGAAATTCCATAAATTTCACCGCGATAAGTTTCCTCGGGTGATTGCCCAGGAACAGAACGTTTAATGTTGTATTCGTCATATACAACACGCTCCTCATTTTCGCCCATTAACGTTGAACCAAATAATGTTGAATATGTTGCTGATGATACGTTGTAATGGTTTGCTTCACCTGATAGTTCATTCAGTCCTGCCTGATCAACTTCCCCTTCTTGTAAGCCTTCCGGATGTTGATCCTTAACTATGGGATATTCCTGGACATGATCATGATCATCAGCTGTCATATCTTTTGATATTGTTGCTTCTGATTGTGAACCACTTTTTACATCACTACCTATATCTTCGTGGAAATGCTTATCAGTTAAATCTTCCGTTGTATCAGTTCCATCAGTTTTTTCCAAAAATTGCTCTTCCATACCTTCTGGAATATGATCTTCAGTTGTTTCTTTTGGAATATAAGCTTCCGTTACACCTTCAGGAGCATAACCTACTGTGTCGTCTTTAGAATGATCCTGTTGCTCCTTATCGGTACTTTCTGTTAATTCATGATGTCCTTCGGTGTCCTGAAATCCCGAAGCGTCCGTAAACTGTTCATCACCTTTTCCAGGTGTCAATTCAGTTTGATGCGCCATCGGATCGTCCATAAATGATGTCGTCATTTCCGCTGAAACACCATCATATATTTCCTTACGCATTACCTCTTCCACAACATTTTCATCAATGGCATAATTCTCATCTCCAACTGGAGGCTCCCTGTCAATCATTGGATGTTTCTCATTTTCAGTAATTGTATTTTCTATTTTTTCCTGTTCCGCAGTCTGTTCCTCCATCGGTTTCATTGTATCATCATTAGCATTTCGAACTTCCTCAACGATTCCAGAAATAATCGGTTTATCATCATCTGATAATCCTGAGATCACTTCTGTTGTTCCCTTAATTTCTGATTGTTGAGTAGGAGACAAAGTCTTCTCGTGTTGTTCGTCCTTATCAGTTGCCGCTTCAGTGCTGATTTCTTCATCTTCCTTACGTAATCCTTCGCTGATATCTTTAACCACTTCATCTACAATTTTAAGATCTTCTTTAAATGTAGCTTCCAGTACAGTTTTCACATCACTAAAGCTAGCATCCACTGTTTCCGCAGCTGCATTCAAAATTCCATCATCATATTTGATGACATCATCAGCTTGTACTTCTTGCTTTTCTGATTCAGTTGGCTTTAGTTGTGTTGGTTCCGTGAAATCTGATTGGGTTACAATCACTTTTTCAATGGTTTCCTCAATTATATCCACACCAACATCAGCTAAATTTTCATGTCGTTTCACCACTTTATGAATCGAATCTTCAACAGTATTTTCCTGCAAATCACCCGGTGCACCATAATCCAATTGTTTTTTCATCATATGATGTGTTTCATCCTCTATTAGCATACTCTCCATATCATCATCCATCTTTGTGGTTACTCCAATTTTTACTGGTTGTTCGTCTAATGTTGCAGCTACAGTAGAATCGATCACTTTTGATTGTTGAATTCGTTTAAGCATATCCTCATCCAGCAATTCTGGATGCAGAATTGTTTTTGGATAACCAATCACTGTTTCATTATCATTCGAAGCAAGTAATTTTTGCTTTTCATGCAAATGTAAATCTTTCTTGAATAGTTCGATATGATCAGGATTTGATGCATCCATTACAGTCAATGAATAACCATGCTGCCAAAGCTGTGATCCGGCAAACTTTATCCTAAAAAGCTATGAAATTAATTTGATATAATAGAAAACTGCTCTTCTGTATTCTAATTAAAAGTTTAATTACAAGGCTATTTCTCCATTGTTATTTCTTACCACAATCTGCTGCAATAACTATACCCAAAAAAATATTCATATGCTTTTTTTTTCTTTTTTTTGTTGAGCTTTAAAAAATTTCCGATAATTGAATTAAATTTGTTCCTTTATTTTTAATATTCTCAAATGATGAAAAAATTTGTCGAAGAGAGACAGAAAAAAAAAGAAAAAAGAAAAGGAAATAAAATATACTCGACGGAATAATCCATTGGTTCAAATAATGATTTCGTTGCGCTTTTCACCTCTCCAGCAAATAATTTTTTTGGCAGGTCTTTAAGCAAATTGTTTACTAATTCTTCAATAAGTTTGACATTTGATTCGTTTTTCTGACATTTCAAATATTACAAATAAATAAATGTAATCTCAATTATATATCAAAAGTATTTCCGCTCAATCTATCTTCCTTCCATGATCTCCGATAAAATGTTCGCATAGATTAATTCATAAGTTTAAATTTTTTATCTTAAATTAAAATCGTGGTTTTGATATTAATTTATTTGGTGACAATTATTATTTGAAAATAATTACAATCAAACATAATAACACCTGGTTCAGCAGCTACAGGTCTTGCAAGTGAAACACCAGCTGCCCAACCGTTACGGATTGCAGCAATTATTTCCGTAAGCGTTACAAATCCACCATTCATAAACAATTTTGTTCGTGTCAAATGTTTTCTCATCTTAATTAGATATCTTTATGTATGTGTTAATTATATTTTATGAATTCATAAATCAAAATCAAATCCGATATCTAATTTAGAAAGATATTCGGCTGATTCTGCTAAATGAACAAGGTCATTCGTCTTTTATTAAACTGGAATCTTTTAATCTTAAAAAAAAAAAAAAAAAAGGTAGGAAATTAAAGATGTTAATATTTCAAAGTATTAATTATAAATTGTTAAAAGTATTAACTAAATGAAAGATAACATACTGTAAGTACAAATTTTTGATAGAAATATTCACACTTCTTCGGATCATCCCCACGTTTTAGATCTTTGATCAAATCATACTGTCCACCCGTTATAGCTATATAATCAAAACCTGTTTTCTGCAAAAAATAAAATGAATGATTAAAAATAATTTTGATTAAATTAGAAAAACTTTGAAATTGATATAAAGAAAATTAGAAAATGATAGGAATGCATAAGACGATATCATTTGTGTACTCAATGATAAGGAATTGATTACCACCAAGTAAGACTCAATTTTTTGATATTTGATTTTGATATGATTAAAGAAATGAAATAAATTTCTTTTAATTTGAAATTTCAAAAATTTTTCACTAACTGCAAATTAAACCGCATTATTGAATGAATTGTGACAACGTTTTTCTTTTTCCTTTCTTTTTTTATTTCCCAACAAAAAGAAAAAAAAAATAAGCTGGGCAAATAGAAAATGATGAAAAATGAATTTCAGTCAATCAATTAAAATGATTAATTGTCTTGCAATCACTAAGAAACTGATTGACAATAATCTTAAAACCAGAAATAGAAAGGGTGATTAATACCTTTACAATTTTATATAAGGCACATTCGTTTCTTTAACTTAATTGTCATTTTACTGGATGCATTACTTTTATACTATTCATCAATTAATAAAGAACTTTTGTAGAATGAATAAGACTTTGACATTCTATTTAGACTATTTTGAAAGTAAGAAATGACATGAAAATAATTGAAATAATTGGTTTCTAATTTGTTAACTAACAGTACACCATTTGAATTCATTTGTTTAACCGTCAGGTGAAAGTAACGAATGTCAATGTTATGCTAAACTGAAGTATTAAAAGATTAACTGTCAGAAAGATTAATTAAGAAAGTGAAAAGAATTTGATTGCATCATTATTTTTATAGTTTTGTTGAAATAAATTTTTTTTTTTTAATCTAAAATTTTTAATTTTCATTAGCATTATTTGTTTTGTATAACTTTTGAAATGTTCACAGAAAATGCATGAAAAATTTCCAGTAATTATATAAAAGAGTTAGAAGAGAAATTAAAAAAAAGAAAAGAAACTGTTAGGATGATCACCTCAACGTTATGAATAAATTCACCAAATTCATCATCGTTATAATCAGGCTCAAAATTGCCGCAGAATAATTTGAGGCCAATTACGAAACGGCTTGGTTTAGAGATTTTCATTCTTGAAAAAAAAGAAGAAAAATTTATGGAAACATATGTAATCAAATATGTTAATTAAAAACAACTCGAAAAAAAAATTCAAAATTAGATATAATTTGAGAATGCTCTGAATTGATCATTTTCATATAATCAATATCATAACAGTAAAAATTTTGCAAAACTTTGATAAATTCATTGTAAAATAAATAATTAAACAAATTATATATATCAAATGACAAGGCAATGTTGATAAAATGATAAAGGTTGATACCGTATAGCTTGAATAATTTTGAATAAAATTTTGGCACGATTATCTAAATTGCCACCGAATTCATCGTTACGGGTATTATCACTGCTTGTAATCAGTTGACCAAGAGCAAAAAAATAAGTGCATGAAATCTCCACACCATTGAAACCTTAAATGATTAATTAAATTTAATTAGTATTGATTTCATTAATATGGTAATATTTCAATTTGCATTTGATATTCCAATGACCCATTTGAAACCATTGTAAAGTTAATTATTGTAATTTAAGCTATTGTTAGAGAAAACATAATTTATAATTATTAAAAAAACAATAAGAATTTTGTGATAAGAAAGACAAGTCTTTATTTCAACTTAATATTCAAATCAAATATATCATAATATTTGAATGAATAAGAACTGATAGCAAAACTAGCTAAATTTGTTACCCAAACAAGACCACTAATTATTTATACCATTGTAGCATAGACATCAAATGTTATTAATAATGGAAGCAAATAAGCAAAAGATGTATAGTGCCAAATCAAAATGATAATATCTAACTAATTGATGAAATTTCAGAAATGGATGAAATTTATTGACAAAATATTCGAAATCGAAAAATTGAAACAATTTTTCTTGAATGCAAACAAATGAAAACAAACCACATTTCTGAGCATAGCTTGCAGCATAAGCATATTCATTAATTAGGTCACCAATTTGTTTCTGTGTCAATTTATTAATGTTAAAATCCGTTTTATGCGGTAAATCAGCGGCATATTTTCCAGGCTAAAACGAAAGGAAAGCAAGAAATGGAAATATGAAAATGATCCAAATTAAAAAAATTATTTTCATTGCTTTTCTGTGTGATATATTATAGTAAATATTAATTACTAATTGTTATATATTGTAAGAATAAAATGAATAAATAATGGAAATTTCATTTATTTTCATTTTATAAGAATAGAATTTATAAGAGAGGACAATTTTTGTTAAATTATTTATCATTTAATTTATATCACTATTTCACTATCTTGAATTTTTTCTTTTTTTAAATTTCTCATTATACCAATACTAAAGGAATGGTTTCTTTTTTATTATTCATTTTTTAATAATTGATAGAAATTTGAATTTTGAAATGCGAAAGCTGTAAGAAAACTTTTGTTTAAATCCACTTTTTTTTTCAAATTTAATAACAGATTGATGGTGAAAAGCAGATTCAGAAGCAATGTTACAAATAAGAATAAACTCATATCAGCAATTAATCATTCATTAAGTAATTGCAATTGAAACGATATCATAAAATTCATAATTTAAAGTTAAATAGAATTTTGTTTGAACAAATGACCTTTGCGAATTAATTAATAATAGCAGGATTGCCTATGGAAGTTTTCGTTTTTCATAAAATGAGGAGAAATTTTTCGAATAATTTTACAGTATGAATTCTAATATGACATTCCTGGTGACACGATGATTATCAATTTTTTCTTACTAAAAGATTAACTTATACCATAGAATTATTACGAACTTAAAAAATGTAAAATTTTAATTAAGAAAAACTTTATAACTCAATACTTTTGACCAAAAAAAGCATGTGACATGAACCACTTTTTCTTCTTT